ATAGTGATTATCCAAATAATAGTAATTTAAAAGATAAGTCTAGGTAAATAAAAACATGTTTTGCATCAAAACATTTAAAGATATTGAAAGGATATCTAATAGAAAAAGAATATCACAGGAGATCTCACCTTCTAGGATTCAATTTAATCTTCATTCCTTTATCTTTGATTTGAAATTTCATTAGGCAGAGGATCAGGAAGAGTCAACTAAAGCACTTTCATTATAATTGAAATCAAAACAACTTCATTAATTCAGTGACACCTGATGAGCAGAAAAATTAATTCTCCAACCAAGATGGTGGAGCCCAAAAAGGGCTAGAATAACCTGGAAATTTTCTACAATTAACTATCCTACCATCCCGAAAGTTGAAAATCCCCCATGCATCTTCTCTCTGATAACCATTTTGACTAAAACTAAAATAGCCAAGCTTATTTTCTATTAAATAAACAGAATTTCCTTTACATCCAGGCAGCTCCTTAGCCAAAGCAGAATATGAATTCTCATCATCACTCAGAAATATTACCTTATCCTCCAACCCCTTTCCATCCACCAACTCAACCCACTCTGGTTTCTTCTCATCAAGCTTAAAAACCATCAAATAATCCTTGTCATTCCTGGCAATCAAAAGCAAATCCTTAGACGACTCCACAAAGTACAGAATGGACGAACGTTGTAGACTTCTTGGTGGATCTAAAAATTTAGTAACATTCAATGATTTAGAATCCACCATTAGAGTAACGCCAGTAGTGACCACAGCATAGAATTTCTCATTATGATAAATAAAATCTGAAATATCCTGAGGAACCGCCAGACCTATATTTATATGACTCCATTTCTTGTCAACATTTCTCCATAAACTCAGCATTCGTTCTGAAAATCTCGCCATAACCGCGAACCCTTCATCAGTCTCATCGAGATTCGCAGTAAAAATGGCTTTTATATGAAAAGTACCTCGTCTTCTGAATCTCCCATTGAGGTGGTGGGCAGTTACCAGGACATCAAGTGATACTAATGAGTATGATCGAGTTATCTCTTGGATCTGATAATCGAGCAAGTTTAAAGACTTCGGTAAACTTTGAGGCGAGTTAAAGAACCGCAGTTTAGAGAGCGGATCCTTGATTTGAACTGTCTCTGGTTTCAACGCCTCGACTTTGACCAGCCTTATGTGAGAGGTTTCTTTGTTGATGGGCTTGATGGCGTAAACAACAGACTCATTGAAGACGTAAATATTTTCTTTAGGGTCGATGGGGTAATTGAAATTAAGGTTTGTGCCTGTGAGAAAGTCAGTGTCTTTTAAAATGGACCGAGGAAATTTGAGTATTGAAAATGGAGAAGGAGCCAGGAGGGATCGGAATAAACGACAAACGGCAGAAAAACGACGGACGTCGCATGGTGTGGGGAGAAGACTTACAATTAAGAGTAAGATGTCGTTGGGGAGACTGGTCCAATTGGGCTTGATAACGTCCATGGGAGGAAGAACAAAGAAGAGAAGACGATGATGTTAATGAGAGATGTACAGTTATAATTATAATTCGGGTCTAAAGGTAAAGATTACATCAGTGATAAAACTCTGTGACAAAATAATTTAATTGTAATAATTATAGTAATTATCTAAATAATCATCAATTAAAATATAAATATATTATAAGGATATATCAAATAGGAAAAACATGATTTTTGGATAATTTTTAAACGTGAAGAAGATCAAAGGAAATCTCACCTGCTTAGGATTCAATTTTATCTTCCTTAACAGTTTATATTTTATTTGGAATTTGTATAAGGTCAACTGATTTGATAAGGAATCAATAACTGGTTGGATTTCTCCTCACTAAATGGTTTTTTTAGAATATGATAAAATTTGATATATATATATATATATATATATATATTAACTAGGAATAGTGTAAAATAGCAATAAACACTTTGGAAATACAACTAAACAACTTAAAATATTTTCAGAAGTCCTTACAATTTTAAAGAAGCTCTTTTGCCTAGTATATAAGTCCAACCAAACAAGCTCGTAACCTTGTGATGTAGAACGTTTAGCAGATGAATTCTTGGAGAGGGTTGAGCGTTGTCAAAAGTTACGGGTAATGGAAAGCTAATATTGAGCCCAATAGAAGTAATCGGGTTCCTAGGTTGAGAGTTGTTTTCGGGCCCAAAATCTACAATTTCAGCGTGTTTCAAGGCCTTAAGTTTTTGGCGTGTTTTTCCTATTTTATTTAGAATCATTTCTTATTTTATAATTAGTAACAGTTAAGATTTTTTTTTTTTAATTATTTTGGATTTTATTTTCTTGTTTATTGAGAATTTTGTTAGAGTTAGCTATCACCACCCTATATAAACATATTATTCGTTTTTTGTGGAGGATTCAATGATTATTCAGATTTTATTTCAACTTGAAAATCTAAGTTTCTGTGATAGAAACTTATTTATTAATTTTAAAAGTATAGTCGAGTGTTAGACTTGTTACTCTAACTCGCTCCATTACCTTTCAGAACAAAATGCAAAGAAGACAAAAGACAATTTAAATTAATTTGAAACAATAAATATCAGAGAAATTGCTGGTGCAGATACATTTTCAATTGAATTTAAAACATCTAGAACCAAGAAACACATCCGTTGAAGCAGCTAATTCAACCAAGATGGTGGAGGCCAGAAAAGGTTAGCAGCATAGCCTCTGAATTTGCTCATTTTCTTAGCCTTTTTATTTTTAAAGTTAAAAATCCATGCATCTTCCCCTGGATGACGATTTTTCTCTACGAGAATTTATTCTTTAAAATAAACACAATTTTCTTGACATCCATACAACTCTTTAGCCGATTAACACTCAACGATTTGGAATCCACGGTCACAGTAACACCCCAGGAAAGCAAAACATAGAACTTTTTATTATGATAAATAATATCCTTAATATAAATATCAAACAAAGGATGGTCAAGCTCCAAGTTTATATCACTCCATTTCTTGTCTATATTTCTCCACATACACAACCTTCTTACACGAAATTTCGCCATAATCGCAAACTCTTCATCACTCTCATCAACACAGGAAGTTAAAATTACTTTTGCGGCGTCATAATTTAGCTTTGAGTACTCCCCATAACCGAATTTGCGTTTATGTTTAAGGCTAACAGCAGTATCAAGTTCAAGTTCATAAGATGTAGTGATCTCAGTAACCTTGTAATCCAGCAAGTTTAAAAACTTGGGAAACTTACGGGACAATCTAAAACGAAGTCTAGAGAGCGGATCCTTCCAATAAACCATACCTGATTTTGTTTTTTCGACTTTGATCAACCATGCCAGAGGCTTTTTGTTGTTAAGAGGCTGGATTGCATAAACAGTAGACTCTGCGAGGGCATAGAGGTCATTTGCTCTAGAGTTTGGGAATCTGAGGAAGTAAGGGTTTCGGACTCTGAGAAAGTCAGTTGTGGTTAAAATAGACTGAGGGAATGAAAGTCTTTCAGGAAGGGGAAGTCTGGATCGAAATGAGCGACAAACGGCACGAAGACGACGAAGGTCATTTTTTTCGGGGAGAAAGTTTGCAACTAAAGCAAGCAGGTCTTCAGGAAGATAGGTCCAATCAGGTTTGGTTCTGGTTCTGTCCATGAGCAAAGAATAATTGGCTTGCGGAGGAAGAAGAAGAACCCAGAATTATGATTATTGTAATTAATTTTTTCTTCATTTATATAATGAAGAATGATGTTCATCCTGCATTGTATAGGATCACATTTTTTTTGGTTACCGAGTTTGGATTAAATTCTATCAAGTTGCTGCTGTTTTAGTTTAATTTAACCTCGTGTAAACAGTTTGCGTTTAACTTGAGTTTAAAATGTATGTTATGAGAGAAGCCACTTGTAAGCTTCATGGATCGATTCATGTTATAGCGAGTGGGGGCTGTTGACTCCACTCAATAATTTATTTATTATTTTCTTTTATATTTATTTTATTCTTCTTTTAGTTTGATATAATTTATTTTACGAATTGACTCAACAAATCTAAAAATAATATTACTGATTGTTTATTAAACAAAAGATAAATATTTTATTAATCATATATTGTTTTTAAAACGATAATTTTTAAAGGCGAAGAAGATAAAAGGAAATCTCACCTGCTTTAGGATTCAGTTTTATCTTCCTTAAGCATTTACTTTGATTTGGAATTTGAACAAGGAATTAATAATGTTATTGGAGTTCTCATTGGATGGTTTTTGAGAATATGATAAGATTTGATATTCAAATAGGGATAATGTGAAGTAGCGATAAACACTTTTGAAATGCAACCAAACAACTTAAAAGATTTTCAGAAGTCCTTACACTTTATAAAAGCTCTTTCGTGCAGTATATAAGCCCACCAGAGAGGATCGTAACCTTGTTCTGTAGTTTTGAGAGTCAGACATTTTATTTGTATCCCACATAAGGTATTAAGATTTCAGAACAAAATGCAGAGAAGACAGAAGACAATTTAAATTAATTCTTGTTATCATAGTGATCCAAGAATAATTTTGGTTATCAAATAATTGAATTGGAAATTATTTACAATACTTAATTGACGGTGATGTAACGCATCAATACATCGACAATTACTTTATGTTACATCAGTTTGTATGCTAAAACTATATGATGTCCGAATTAAAGGAAGAACTCAAAGAGGTGGCGAAGGAGAAATTTATTTTAGATTGCCGGCCGCTGTGTCTCAAACATTTACCAAATGCTTTATTAAATGGATAATAATATAAAACCTATGTATGCTATGCTTTTTTTATCAAGAAGTTATAGTCAGTTGTTGATACTGATCACAACATATTTAAAAGAACAAGTTTCATCATAATTGAAATTGAAACAACTAGAAAAACAAAAAATTAAAAAATCAATTACGTTAATTTAGTGACAACAAAGATGGTGGAGGCCAGAAAAGTCTAGAATAACCATTGAAAGTTAAAAATCCCCCAAGCATCTTCTCTCGGAAAACCATTGAAGCAGCTAGCTAGCTAGCTTTATTTTACTGCTTCAACCAAGATGGTGGAGGCCAGAAAAGGCTAGCAGCATAGCCTGGAAATTTGCTCAGTTTCTTATCCTTTCTAGTTTTCAAGTTAAAAATCCATGCATCTTCCCCTGGATAACGATTTTCCCCAACGCGAATTTCTTTCTTAAAATAAACACAATTTTCTTTACATGGACGCAATTCTTTAGCTGAAAGAGAATATGATCCATCTTCACTCAGGAATATCACTCTACCCTCAAACTCCAATTCATTCACCACTCGAACCCATCTGCGATTCTCTTCGTCAAGCTTAAAAACCTTTAAACAATCCTCACTATCCTCCTTTGCGGGGAACTTAGCAATCAGAAACAAATTATTATGTGACTCCAGCAAGTACAGCAAGTACAGCATGAAATCACAGTCCAGATCACTGAGTTCACGTCCAACTTTAGTAACACCCAACGATTTGGAATCCACAGTCATAGTAACACCCGAAGAAAGCAAAACATAGAACTTTTTATTATGATAAATAATATCCTCAATATAAATATTCCGATAACACCAAGGAGGATCAAACACCAAGTTTATATCACTCCATTTCTTGTCTATATTTCTCCACATACACAACCTTCTCCCACGAAATTTCGCCATAACCGCAAACTCTTCATCGCTCTTATCAACACAGGAAGTTAAAGTCACTTTTGCGGCGCCATAATTTAGCTTCGAGTACTCCCCATAACCGAATTCGTATTTATCTTTAAGGCTAGCAGCAGTTTCAAGTTCATAAGATGTAGTGATCTCAGTAACCTTGTAATCCGGCAAGTTTAAAAACTTGGGAAACTTACGGGACAATCTAAAACGAAGTCTAGAGAGCGGATCCTTCCAATACGCCATACCTGATTTTGTTTTTTTCTACTTTGATCAACCATGCCAGAGCCTGTTTGTTGTCAACAGGCTGGATAGCATAAACAGTAGCCTCCGTGAGGACATAGAGGTCATTTTCCGCAGAGTCTGGGCATCTGAGGAAAGGGTATGGGACTCTGAGGAAGTCAGTTGCGGTTAAAATAGACGGAGGGAATAAAAGTCTTTCAGGAAGGAGAAGTCTGGATCGAAATGAGCGACAAACGGCACGAAGACAACGGAGGTCACTTTGTTGGGGGAGAAAGCTTGCAATTTAAGCAAGCAGGTCTTCAGGAAGATAGGTCCAATCAGGTTTGGTTCCGGCCATGAGCAAAGAATAATTGACTTGTGGAGGAAGAAGAACACAGAATTATAATTATTGGGAAGAAAATAAATATCCGATATTATACTCAATTTTTTCTTCATTTATATAATGAAGGATGATGTTTATCCTGCATTGTATAGGATCAGATTTTTTAGGTTACCGAGTTTGGATAAAATTCTATCAAGTTGCTGCAGTTTGTGTTTAATTCAACTTTGTTACAAGAGAAGCCAGTTGTTGGTTACGTGGATCGATCCGTGTTATGGCGAGTGGGGCCTGTTGACTCCACTCAATAATTTATTTCTTATTTTCTTTTATACTTATTCTTCTTTTAGGTTGATATAACTTATTTTACCAAATTGACTCCACAAATCTAAAAATAATGTTATTTTTTTCTATTGTTTATTAAACAAATAAGCTTTTATTTGTTTAAAAAGATAATTATTTTATTAAAATCAAATATTTTTTATATTGTTAAAAAAGTAAAAAAAATATAATTAGCATCATAAATTTTATATTATTTATTTTATATTTGCCCCCTTTGACATTAATCCTTGAGTTCGGCCCTAGCTGGCTAGGGTCTTATGAAAATATACAAAGCTAGAAACTTTCAACAGATTTTCTCATTAAATCCTCTGTTTGTTCCTCTGTTTATTCTCTGCTTCTAGACTAAATATCCAGAAAATTTAATTCCAATTGCAATTTTATTAAAGAGTAATTGCATGCAAATTTCTATGGTTTGGTATTGATTATTTAAGTTCATGTATGTAAAGAGCTAATTTCTGGCAAGCATAAGTTGGGAGATGTGGAATATTCATATAACTACAAGAAAAATGGCTTCCCGCGTCTAGCAAAATTAGAAGTCGATAGTAAAATCTAGACGCTAAATGTCTTGTACGTCTAAATTTTGTAGTTGCCACGTAGTTGCAAAATTGCTATAGCAGAAAGTATGGGCGTATAAAAAGTTGGTTAGACGCGGAATTTTTTTTTGGGCGACAATAAAATTAGTCGTTAATTGCTGGTTGAAATAGTCCCCCGCTTAGACGCTAAATGTGTAAGGGTAATTTGGTAAAATTGTATCACGATTAATCAATTAGTTGCAAAGTGTACCTCTTAGTGACTAATAATTTGTCGCGAATGCCACAAAAATTAGATGTTAAAGGTATAAGGGTATTTTCGTAAAACTCTTTTGTGACTATTTTATTAGTGGGCAAACGTATATTTTGGTTATAAAAATTTAGTGGTTAATTCTAATAATTTTATATGCTAAATGTAAAATCCAAAAATGATAAATTATTTTTTGCTACTAAAAAATTAGTTGCAGAATGTGTTTTTTTTTTTTTTTTTTGTGAAAAAATAATTAGTGGCAAAATTATTTTGTTTTTATTGGGGAAATGTATATACCAAATTTGGTTTCTTACATTTTGTTTTCTGTTTCGGTTAATATTATACATTCAAGCATTTCGTTTAATATTATACATTCAACATTAACAAAATAATTGTTTTCTGTTTCAGGAATTCCAACATTTGAAAATGTTATTCTTCAAGCATTTTTATTTTCTGTTTTTGTTGATCAAATAAGATGAGCTGCTCCTCCAACTGTTTAATCTTATTTTCTTGTTGTTGCACTATACGCCTTAACTTTTCTTCAGCTCCTTCAAGTAAGATAGCTGCTCCTTCAAGCATTGTTGAATGTATCATTTTTTCCTACCATCAATTCAATGCATAATGAATAAGTCAAGCAAGAAACTAAATAATTACAAATAAATTATAATTATTCTGGGGTATACAATATGTGACAAAAACTTATGAAATAGCAATGGAAAAGAAAGACTACTCCTCAAAGTTCACAGAACGTACTGCAGCACCAAACCAAAATCAAATTGATGGAATAGAAAAGCAAGTATCTCACAAATTATCAATCTGAACTTCAATTCCCTAGTTTAAAATTTTAACCTAAGTTAAATTTCTACTTTCATTCAGCCAAATGTGTTTTTGTAGAATAAAACCTTGTTCATAAGGCTATAAATGTTTGAAATCTGATGGAAAAATAGTCATCTCACCTAGTGTCAAGTTTAATGAACATGAATTTCCTTTTGCCAATAATCTTGGTTTCAATTCAAGGTCATGGAGCAGATCTAAAACGAATTCTAGAGAGCGATCCTTCCAATAAACCATACCTGATTTGTTTTTTCGACTTTGATCAATCATACCAGAGGAGGCTGGATTGCTAAACAGTAGACTCGGTGAGGCATAGAGGTCATTTGCTCTAGAGTTTGGGAATCTGACAAGTAAGGGTTTCGGACTCTGAGAAAGTCAGTTGTGGTTAAAATAGACTGAGGGAATGAAAGTCTTCCAGGAAGGGAAGTCGGATCGAAATGAGCGACAAACGGCACGAAGACGACGAAGGTCATTTTGTTCGGGGAGAAAGTTTGCAACTAAAGCAAGCAGGTCTTCAGGAAATAGGTCCAATCAGGTTTGGTTCTGGTTCTGTCCATGAGCAAAGAATAATTGGCTGTAGGAAGGAGAAGAACCCAGAATTATGATTATTGTAATAAATTTTTTTCTTCATTTATATAATGAAGATGATGTTCACCCTGCATTGTATAGATCAGATTTTTTTGGTTATCGATTTTTGGATTAAATTCTATCAAGTTGCTGCGATGGGGGCTGTTACTCCACTCAATAATTATTTATTATTTCTTTTATATTTATTTTATTCTTCTTTTATTTTGATATATTTATTTTACGAATTAACTCAACAAATCTAAAAATAATATCACTGATTGTTTATTAAACAAAAGATAAATATTTTATTATCATATATTGTTTTAAAACGATAATTTTTAAAGTGAAGAAGATAAAAGGAAATCTCACCTGCTTTAGGATTCATTTTTATCTTCCTTACGCATTACTTTGATTTGGAATTTGAACAAGATAAGATTTGATTTCAAATAGGGATAACGTGAAGTAGCGATAAACACTTTGAAATGCAGCCTGTTGATGTGTGATTTTAACACCATGAAACGCACGTGTGAATATTTGAGTTGACCCAAAAGACACAAGTAAATGGAAAAGAAATGATAGTAAATGCAGTGAGAAAAAGTTTTAAAGTGGTTCGATGCTAAGGAAGCAAGTCTTACATCTACTGATGTTTTTATAATGGCAATGGTCATGTCATTTTAGATGACTGCCTTTACACTGAGAATACAAAGTATCAATGCTGTCTATTCTAGAGAGAAGGAGAGGTGGGTCAGAGTAAATGTGTGAATCCCCTTAATGAGAGAGGATCTCTCAACTATATGGGATACCTTGAGGTAATGATCATTGAATCTGTAAGTTGGTGGATGATCCGTGCAAATCCTTCTTTATGTCACGTTATCCATCTTCTAGAGTAATTCACGTGATTTGCTGCAGGGTTGGACACGCGAGATCATCACAACTCCTGGCTGGCCTAACGTGCACCCATTATTCTGACAGAAGCAAGTTGTGGGTGTAACCACGATCACACGACGTGGCGTGCCCATAATGCCAGTAACTCTTCTCGAGGTTTGACCTTTCGCACTTAACTGGATGCCACATCAGCCCTATTTTCCCAGGCATAACACACAAAACAACTTAAAGATTTTCAGAGTCCTTACAACTTTATAGAAGCCTTTCGTGCAGTATATAAGCCAACAGAGAGGCTGAAACCTTTCTCTGTAGTTTTGAGTGTTCGACATTTTTTGTATCCCACATAAGGTACTAAGATTTCAGAACAAAATGCAGAGAAGACAAAAGCAATTTAAATTAATTCTTGTTATCATAGTGATCAAGAATAATTGGGTTATCAAATAATTGAATTGGAAATTACTTACTACTTAATTGACGTGATGTAACGCATCAATACACGACAATTACTTTATGTTACATCAGTTTGTATGCTAAACATATGATGTCCAATTAAAGGAAGAACTCAAAGAGGTGGCGAAGGAGAAATTTATTTTAGATTGCCGGCCGCTGTGTCTCAAACATTTACCAAATGCTTTATTAAATGGTAATAATATAAAACCTATGTATGCTATGCTTTTTTTATCAAGAAGTTTAGTCAGTTGTGATATGATCACAACATATTAAAAGAACAAGTTTCATCATAATTGAAATTGAAACAACTAAAAAACAAAAAATTAAAAATCAACGTTAATTTAGTCAACAAAGATGGTGGAGCAAAAGTCTAGAATAACCATGAAGTTAAAAATCCCCCAAGCATCTCTCTCGGAAAACCATTGAAGCAGCTAGCAGCTAGCTTATTTTACTGCTTCACCACCAGATGGTGGAGGCCAGAAAAGGCTACAGCATAGCCTGGAAATTTGCTCAGTTTCTTATCCTTTCTAGTTTTCATAAAATCCATGCATCTTCCCCTGGATAACGATTTTCCCCACGCGAATTTCTTTCTTAAAATAAACACAATTTTCTTTACATGGACGCAATTCTTTAGCTGAAAGAGAATATCCATCTTCACTCAGAATATCACTCTACCCTCAAACTCCAATTCATTCACCACTGAACCCATCTGCGATTCTCTCGTCAAGCTTAAAAACCTTTAAACAATCCTCACTATCCTCCTTTGCGGGGAACTTAGCAATCAGAACAAATTATTATGTGACTCCAGCAAGTACAGCAAGTACAGCAT